TTAACCGAATCCTTCTGGCTTACTTAGAATGCATAGAAGAGGCTAAAAACTAGAATCTTGTAAAATTAAATTAAGAAAGCTGCCAAACCAACTCAGTTCAGTGGATCTCCTTCAGATGCAGCTTGAGAACAGTAACAGTAGCCTATTCTAACTCGTAACAGTGGGCATTTATTATTATGGGGGGTTGGGCTTTTTCTTAGATGTTTCACACCCATCCAGAATTCTTTGGGATTGAGGTGGATTAGAAATATGGTAAAATTAATTATATATTGGGTTTAAATAATTATATAAATGATAAATTTTCAACTGTCAATAACAAAAGACCACAGCTTGGATCCGCACATATTCTATGCAGATACCTTAGGACATCCTACATTCTTGAGAAGAACTTCATGCAAATGAAGGCCAACACCAGCCAAAGAACTGGAGGCTGCAATTTCACAATGCAGCCCATATAATAATAATAATAATAATAATAATAATAATAATAATAATAATAATAGTAATAGTAATAATAGTAATAATAATACCACCGTAATGTATCTAAGGGGTCCTTGGTGCTCTCTGAGCTTGCTTGTTTTCTTGAAGACGTTTCATTACCCAAACTAGTAATGTCAATGCTAGTAAGGAGTGCTGTTTGCTGTCAGTTTATATATTCTGGTGTCTTGCCTTTCTCTGTTTTTTAACTGGGTATTGCTGACTTGATTGTTGGACTGAAGTTAACCTTTCAACCCTGAGCTACAAATATTTTCCTTTATTAATAATATATCTGGCTGACTGTGCAATCAACAATGGTCAGAATAGAAGAAAAAGAACTGGAGAAGGCCATAAAATACAATGACCTTCAAATAGAAATGGAACAATTGTGGGAATAGAATAGAAATAGGAATAGAATAGGATTCTTTATTAGCCAAGTGTGGTTGGACACACAAGGAATTTGTCTTCGGTGCATAAGCTGTCAGTGTACACACAAGCAATATGTGATAAATCATGATCAGTGTCATCATAAATACAAAGATATGCAATACAATAAAATATAAATACATAAATACATACGTATGCAAAGATAGCCCCAATGGTAACAGGCACCGTGGGTGCAATTCCAAAACATCTGGAGCATCACTTTGAACACCGTTGGCATTGACAAAATCACCATCCGTCAACTTCAAAAGGCAAATCTATTCAGAGCAGCTTCTATCCAAACACTGCTTATCCCAGATCTTTGGAAAGGACTCAGCAGGTGGATAATTTAGTATCCATGACTATCACCAAGTGTTGCATCTAATGTTTTAGGATGAATGTATTTTTACAGTGACTATGATCATGATCTATCGCTATCCTTGCATGCACACAAACAACAAACTCTGCTAAATAACTTATTCCCACAACACTGTCAAAACTGCTGAGTAAGGCTGTACTACTATTCCTGTATTCTTCTCACCTTTCCTATTACCTATCTCCTTCTCTACTTATGACTTTTTTGCTTGTATCTCTACAATTTATATTGTTTTATTTAGTTTCCTAGTAGGATTTACATTGCTTATTCAATGGAAGGTCCTGCCTTCCATTGAGGACCTGTATACCGCACGAGTCAAAAAGAGGGCTGTGAAAATATTTACAGACCCCTCACATCCTAGACATAAATTGTTTCAACGCCTACCCTCAAAACGACGCTATAGAGCACTGCACACCAAGACAACTAGACACAAGGACAGTTTTTTTCCCAAACGCCATCACTCTGCTAAACAAATAATTCCATCAACACTGTCAAAACTATTTACTAAGTCTGCGATACTATTAATCTTCTCATCATTCCCACCACCCATCTCCTTCCACTTATGACTGTATGACTGTAACTTTGTTGCTTGTATCCTTACGATTTATATTGATATTGTTTCCTGATTGCTTATTTGTTCCCTAGGACTATCATTAAGTGTTGTACTTATGATTCTTGATGAACGTATCTTTTCTTTTATGTACACTGAGAGCCTATGCACCAAAGACAAATTCCTTGTGTGTCCAATCATACTTGACCAATAAAAAATTCAATTCAATTCAATTCAATTCAATTCAATTCAATTCAATTCAACTCAACTCAACTCAACTCAACTCAACTCAACTCAACTATACTCTACTCTACTCTACTCTACTCAGTATCCTGAGACTATCACTAAGTGTTGTGTCTTATGATTCATGATGAATGTATTTTTATGATGGCTATGATCATAATTCATCACTTACAGCTTTTATGTACAATGAGAATTTATGCACCAAAGACAAATTCCTTGCCTATCTAATCCCACTTGGCCAAGAATCCTAATTAATTCTAATAAAAAAAGGCCAAATCCAGGCTGAAACATCTGCCTGGTAGCCACCTAACCCATAATATCTAATCCTCCCAGATCAATAACTGACACCCCCCCTTCTTTTTTTTTTTTTACTACGGCCACGTCTGCGACCATCTACAGGAGAGAATCCACGCTCCCCCCACCCACCCACTCTCCACCACCACGCAGCTCCCAATTTCGGAAAGCGCATGCGCTGTCCTCACAGTCAAGGTTCTAGTCCGCAGTGAGGAACCGGCCTGTGTGCGGAAACTTTTTTTTTTTTTTTTTTTTTTTACGAAAAACTGCCTGCGTGGAACTTTTAAAAAAGTTTTTCTCCGAAGATGGGTCGTCAAGGAAACCACGAAGCGCCGCGGGAGAAAGAAAAACGCTCCGAAGGGGGAGTCGGAGGCCTCGTTTCCATAGCAACCACCGGTAACCGTCACCCGGGGGCCTTTCCACAGGGGCCCAGCCGTCCACGTCCCCCAGGAGCCGGGCCTCACTCCCCGCCCGCCCGCCTTGAATAGCAGCCCGGCTGCCTCACCTTCTCCTCGGCGCTTCGCATCCCAGCTCGAGGGCCCTGTTTTCCTCTCCTTCCGTGTGACAACCGAACCCCTCTGTTCCTTCGGGGCGGGGTCTGTGCTTATGGACGACGTACCCACCCAATGAGACGAGACGTCATCCTGTCGGGTTTTGCGTTGAGGAGCAGGGAAAGGCGGGACTTTCGCATTGTCTGCTTCCCCCACCCTCAAGCAAGTTCGGTTGCCTCGCGCCGCTCTATTGCTTTTGAAAGCTGGCGCGGGCGGTGGCGGGAAGAGAAAGTTGATCAGCGATTGGCTGGGAGATTTAGCCAATCGGGAGAGTGAGGGATGGGCTATTGTAAGTTAAAGTCCTTTAAATTCAATGCTTTTATTTAATAAGGGTGAGCAGAATAGTGCTTAAACTTGAGATTCATAAACAAAGCAAATAAATATTTTTTATTTATTGATTTTATTAAATTATTTTATTATTTATTTATTTTATTTATATAAATCTTTTCTTTTATGTACACTGAAGAGCATATGCACCAAGACAAATTCCTTGTGCGTCCAATCACATTTGGCCAATAAAAAATTCTATTCTATTCTATTCTATTCTATTCTATTCTATTCTATTCTATTCTATTCTATTAAAATAAGCTTTTTTCCAAAGCACCTGAAGGCCAGATAAGGAATAATGGATGGGAACTGACCAAGGAGAGATTCAACCTAGAAATGAGGAGGAACTTTCTGACAGTGAGAACAATCAACCCGTGGAACAGAAGTTGCCTTCAGAAGTTGTGGGAGCTTCATCACTTGAGACTTTCAAGAAAAGACTGGACTGCCATTTGTCAGAAATGGTGTAGGGTCTCCTGCTTGACGGCGGGTTGGACTAGATGACCTATAAGGGGTCCCTTCGAACTCTGTTAATCTGTTAAGGTAAATAACACACTAAAGGCATAGATTAGGGTTGTGCCCCCCCCCAAATTTAGCAATTTTAAGAGGAGTGGACTTCAACTCCCAGAATTCTCCAGCCATAATTCTGGGAGTTCAAGTCCACCTCAAGTTTGAAAAACATTGGCATAGATTTAAAAACCATACATACCGAGTTCATTTATCTTGAGCATCAGAACTGAGGGGTGAGGAGGGGCAGGTTTTCAAAACGTTAAAAAAAATCGAAAATATTAGAATGTGCAGAAATGAACAGATTAACGCTTGCAATTAAGGAGAGAGAACAAACTGAATATTATACAATACGGGAACTATTTTATCAATGGTTAGAGAATAAAAATGGAAGTTGGAAATAAAAGAAGGAGATTAAGGTAGAAAAGATCATAAAATAGAAGTGTAAACAATATGACGATTGTTACTATTAGGGTTATTAGGATTATTATGCTTAATATTATTATTAGATTCTTATTAGAAGATATGTTAAGAGGGAAAAATGAATAGGTTTACTATGTTCAATATTACAATTGTAAGATCAGAGAATTAATATTGAAGTAATGAATGCTGTTGTAAATCTTGATGGTTATTCATAGACACACTGTTTAAGGGAAGATAGAATATTTATATTAAAAAAATAAAAATTAAAAAAAAAAAAGAATGGATCTCTTCTGCAAAAATGACCCAAAAAACATTTCACACCCATATAAGATCCTTTCCAGGGATATAGAAAGCAAATTACCCTCAGCAAGCAGTTGTGTTAGATTTTTTTTTTACTAACTGGTAAAAAAAGATTAAGTCAAAATCTATTGTTTATGAAACATAATAGTTGATTGCACTCACACATTAAGCCAAATGCAAACTAAGTGACGGCTTAATACAAAAGTATCCATTTATCTGATTCTTCCTCTTTTAATCTACACCCATATTACGTCTTCCTGATCCAGGGGTGGGTTCTACTTGCCTTTACTACCGGTTTGCATTCCACCCATGCGCGCTTTTCTGCACATGCGCAGATCACCTATGATGACATCCGGGTCAGTGGGTGGAGCCTCCCGCTGGTTTTACTACCGGTTCTTGCGAACCAGTTCGAACCAGGGGCAACCCACCACTGCCCTGATCGCAGATATTACTGATCACTCAACATATTACACATTGATCGTTATTTGGCAAGCCGCGCATTGAAAGTGGGACAGAAACCATGCCTCTGAAAACAGATCCACAGACAAAATTTATTTGCAAACATTATGATTGTAAAGATGAAACTGCTGCTGTATGGATAACATTCTAATTTCCAGGGATGAGAATTGAAGGAGAGAATTACAAGTCTATTGCTTGGCCAACTTTTATAAATATGAATCTGATGGCATTGTGTGTGTGTGTATGTGTACACATATAAATTTGAAGATACCCTGAGAAAACTCTATTTTGTGTCTATCTGTATCACGTGCAATGCAATACTAAAGGTGTGCATTTAAAAGTAAAATCCATTCCTGCTACAGCTTAATAAACCACAATGTACCAGTTCTTAACTGCTTGCTTTTAAGAAACTAAGAAAGGACATGTTTATATGATATCTGAATTTAGGATTATTTTTGAGTCCATGCAAGTGCTTATGGTTGGCTTAAAATCTAGGTGTTGGCCCTAGTTCTAACTTTCAACGTTACCCCTCTTCTGCTTACACACTGCGAGGAATGGATCAGCTCTACACTTGTTAGCATCCTGATTTAGGAAGCCAGGATTCCTGGCTTAAACTGGCATGCAAAAATGGCCCTTGAGATTAGCAATACCCAGCCAAGGTGAGGGTGCTTAAGTGTTCACTTCAGAAATTCAAGCACTTGTCTGGGATATCTGCTCTTGGTATGGGGTTGGATTAGAAGACTCTAAAACCTCTTCCAATTTCCTTGAGTCTATTCTGTGATTTTCGAATCTGCCCTTAAGAGCAAAATCTTAGCATTGCTTCAAACAATGCTGGATTCACTGATAGCATTCAGGTTTCTTTTCAAAGCTGCAAGGAATAGATTTGCAGAAATCTCTTTCTCTCCACAATATATATATATATAAAAAACAGAACCACTCCAAGGCATATTGATTTACAGAATATTTCCAGTTGAAAACACGTACAGGGATAATGCGGCATGAACATTTATTTTTAAAAAATTCTTTTCGTAACTAATATAGGAACAAATGAAACCCAATCCCACAAAATACGGAACGAAGGAAAATAGAAAGCGTGCAATTAAAAAAACCCAAAATAGCTTCTAAACAAAACGATGTATTCACTTAACCCTGAAATATGATGTATGATTGCTTTCTTTTATTTCAAACTCCCCATACTATTTGCATCTGTCATTTTTATTTTTGCTGGTTCAGTTCCAGTGTCTTTACCTACAGGCCAGTAGGCAAACATTTTGCAGATTAAGTTTTTGCAAACCCTTTGGCATCCTGGTAGAACTGCAATATATGATAGGATTGCATAATAAGTCTAAATCTACCACATTGTTAGCATCCGCTTCAAAATGATAACTAATTTCCATCTATAAACTTAGTAAGCATTGCCGCCTCATTTAAAAACTAGCAACCTATAACTGGTCCAATTAGCAGTTAGCATCAGGTAGATTGGTGAGGATCTTTAATAATAAAATAATCTGTTTATTGCTGACTGCAAATCCCTTAGACTTTGTTGCATGAAACAGAAACAAAAATAACGATTTATGGTTTTGCTGATTAGACAGAATAAATTATAGGGGGGGAAGAGTTATACCGTAACCACAGAGCAAGAGGTAAATTTATAATTGTACTTATAAGTGTTTCAAACATCGGGAGCAACTTTTTTCTTTCTTTTCTATTCTGTTTACTTTTTTCTTTCATGCACTTTTTAGCTGGTTCTTTAATTTCTCTTCTTTTTCTCATTCTATATTCATTTCTATTAGTTTTTGCCTTCTATTCTTAGCATCTTTAATAAAAGTATATTTTACAAAATGAACTGAGCTTTTGATGCCTGTTGACATCATGGACACACAAATGTCATTTCCTTGGCAGCAAGAGACACGTGGTTTCCGTGGTCCTTTTCAGAATGGTTTTTTGAGTTCCCAGACCGAGCTACAGTGCTGAGATTTCCTTGTGGTCTCTCATCCAAATGCAAATCAAGTTCAGTCTTTCTCAAGCTGCTTGAAATCAGCCCAGGAACGACTCAAATTAATTTATCAGCTAAAAAAAAAACAACCCACAGCTCTGGTAAAAATATGAGTCATTTTCCCCAAATCTCTTACATTAAAAGGCACATCTTCAAGTAAGTTTTGCTTCGGGAAGGTTGGTTTGTGCTTTGACATCTTTTTCTGATCTCTTCAAAATGTTTTCTGAGTACCTCTGGCTCTTGATTTCTCCCCAGCCTCTTGGTCTCTCCAGGGATATGTTTTGCAAAAGTAAAATACTTGTCGCTAGTCAGATGCAACATAGAGGTGGGATTAAATTCAAGTTTCTCAATCTCCGCCCACTCCAAGAACGTTTGGACTCCAGCTCCTAGCATTCCCCAATCAGCCATGTTGACTCAGAAATTCTGGGAATTGAAGTCCACACAACTTAAAATGGTTGAGGATGAGAAATATCGATTAGACAAACGCATTGGACGGAGACCTAGACAAACACACAAAGAGGCGTCTCCTATTCTTTGTCGAATTCTGTGCGCAGGAAATGAATCCAGACTAAATCACTAGGGATGTTGAGGGGACGGTGACAAAAGAATGATCTTGAAAAGAATACGAGTCAACAAAATTATTTCTTAGAAGGCAGCTGCCCCTAACCCTTTCCTTACAGGCTGGCAGAGCCTTAATTCACTTCCAGAGGAGATAATTGGCAACTTGTTCTCCATATGGTAGCGGATAAGATGATCCACATTATCGAATGTATGATCTTTGGTTCTAACCTGTAAAAAAAAAAAAAGAGCATCCAAGAATTTAGTAAGCATCAGGTCTTCAAATTCTGCAATATCTGGGGAGGCTGTTTTTGCCCTCCCGGAGGCTCGAGGAAAGCCTCCAAATCCCAGGGAAGGCAAATGGTGCAGGAGGCCAAATAGGCCACGCCCACCATGGCCACGCCCACCCAGCAACTGGGCAGAGAATCCCTTGCTAAGATTTTTGAAGCCCACCCCTGGTGTTAAGGTGGGGAAGAAACCAATACACCACTTACTTGTATGTATTTGATATACCTCTGTAACAAATAATAAAACTTGAATAGGACCTAATCAGTTTGCAAAGTCATTATCGGGGTGGTTTTTTTAGTGATGAATGGGTCTTGTGATTCAAAAATAATGGCCTACAAACATAACTAAAGATTCTTGTTTATTTGAAACACACTGTAAAAGGAGACTGGGTTTATTTTTTTCGTGCGTTTGCAACTTTCCTGGAGCTTAGCGAATTTTTGGATTGCCCCAAATCCAAGTTTCGATATTAAAAGTATACTATGTTATGGTTGACCAGCAATCCAAGACAAGAGCATCTACAAGGGGAGAACGGGCCAAAGAAGACTTTAGGATTGGATCACAAATCACAGCTATCATCTTGATTTTTGTATTCCCTTCATGGATACCCCTGATTTGAAGGCCCTTAGTATCTTTTTAATAGCTGGCAGAATGTCTTACTTTATGACCATAGCTTGAGGGGTCCTTGGTGTTCTCTGAGCTCGGTTGTTTTCTTGCAAATGTTTCATGACCCAAACTAGGTAACATTATCAGTGCTAATGATCAGTGCTAGTGATTAGTGCTAATTTATGAAATTAAAGAGCCTTGGTGGCGCATCAGACTAAAGCGCTGTTAAGTAACACCAACTGCCTGCAATTATTGCAAGTTCAAATCTCACCAGGCTCAAAGTTGACTCAGCCTTCCAATCCTTCCGAGGTAGGTAAAATGAGGAGCCGGATTGTGGGGGCAATAAGCTGATTTTGTATAAAAAAGAACACCGCTGGGGGGGGGGCAAAAGCCCTACTAAGCAGGTATATACAAAACTATGAAGGCTATTGCTTAACGCATTGTAAGCCGCCCTGAGTCTCCGGAGAAGGGCGGCATATAAATCAAACAAACAAACAAACAAACAAATAAATAAATAAATAAATAAATAAATAAATAAATAAATAAATAAATGGTGTTACCTAATTTGGATCATGAAACATCTGCAAGAAAAAAACCAAGCTCAGAGAGCACCAAAGGGCCTCTTCATTTCAACCCCGAGCTACAAATATTCTCCTTTGTTCTTCAAATGCAATCCTCATTCAAGGAAAGCAAGTAAAATGATGATTTGGTTGCCATCCTAAAGCTTCTTAAGTAATGCAAAATTAAATGCTCAATACCACAGAATGTTTCTTATTATAAAGCTATTATAAATCACCCTGCCAACAAAAGTGCGTATAGTCAAGGCTATGGTTTTCCCAGTTGCAATGTATGGCTGTGAAGTTGGACCATAAGGAAGGCTGAGCGCCAAAGAATGAAGGTCTTTGAACTCTGGTACTGGAGAAGACTCCTGCGAATCCCTTGGATTACAAGGTGATCCAACTGGTCAGTCCTAGAGGAGATCAACCCTGACTGCTCTTTAGAAGGCCAGATCCTGAAGATGAAACTCAAATACTTTGGCCATCTAATGAGAAGGAAGGACTCCCTGGAGAAGAGCCTGATGCTGGGAAAGATTGAGGGCAAAAGAAGAACGGGATGGCAGAGAATGAGGTGGCTGGATGGAGTCCCTGAAGCAGTAGGCATGAGCTTAAATGGACTCCATAGGATGGTAGAGGACAGGAAGGCCTGGAGGAACATTGTCCATGGGGTCGCGATGAGTCTGACAGACTTCGCAACTAACAACAAATTATAAATTACATTCTGAATAAAACAATGTCTCAGTTGTTCCTACCTTGCCTTCAGGATCCACCAACAAGAGATGTTTCACTTGTCCTCCTTGCAGCCCACTCAGGACGTATTGGCCAGGTGAGGTTGTACTCTCCCGTACCAGGAAGTCTCCATTGTTTCTTAAGAGATTCTCAGCTTGTCTCCTGGATATCTTCCCGTGATAACATTCTTCATTCCAAAGAGGTGTCTTTGCATCTGTGATGCATCCGAGCCCTGCCATGTCACCGGATCCTTTCTGCTCTGCAGTTTCTGAGGCTTCTGAAAATGAAATAAAAGACATAAAGGTAAAGGTTCCCCACGCACATATGTGCTAGTCGTTCCCGACTCTAGGGGGCGGTGCTCATCTCCGTTTCAAAGCTGAAGAGCCAGCGCTGTCCGAAGTCGTCTCTGTGGTCATGTGGCTGGCATGACTAAACACCAAAGGCGCACAGAACGCTGTTACCTTCCCACCAAAGTTGGTCCCTATTTTTCTACTTGCATTTTTTACGTGCTTTCGAACTGCTAGGTTGGCAGAAGCTGGGACAAGTAACGGGAGCTCACCTTATGATTCTTGATGAATGTATCTTATTTTATGTACACTGAGAGCGTATGCACCAAGACAAATTCCTTGTGTGTCCAATCATACTTGACCAATAAAAAATTCTATTCTATTCTATTCTATTCTATTCTATTCTATTCTATTCTATCTATTCTAATTCTATTCTATTCTATTCTATTCTATTCTATTCTATTCTATTCTATGGAGAGAGACACAAATCTGTTATTATTCTGTAATAGAACAGTTTGGCTCCTGAAGTCGTGAGTGCTCCATCACTGCAGCTTTCAAAGGTTGGAGAGCCACAGGTCTGATTAAAAGATCTAAATCTCTTCCAGCTTTATGATTCTATTCCGTGACCTTGGCACTGCCTTTAGAAGGAAAAGCTTAGCATTGCTTCAAACCACGCTGTGAATTCCTTTATAACATTCGTGTTTCTTTTCAAAGCTGCAAGGGACGGATTTGCAGAAATAGAAACGGACTTGAAATGAGGAGCTGGATTTGCAGAATTCTGTTCTGCAGGGAGGGTTCTGGTCATACCTGATGCAGCTTGTAAGTTTTGAGTATTGATATATCGAGGGTCATCAAAAAGATCCACTTTGCTGCCACTTTTCAGCAATGGAGCATCTTGATTTGCTGCCTGAGTGGGTTTGCTGATATCTGCAATTAATCATCACAAGGAGATCTTTCTTTAGTTCTTTAAAACCCTCAAAAGCTTATTCAACAGCACAAAATACTACCAAGTTAACCAAATTAATGCGAGTTATGTTATCTCACCAAGAAAAGATAAGGATGTCTGATTTCCTAGTATTCCTAGTATCCTAATAGTAGTACCTACAAAAACCCTATGTCTAACATGCTATCTGTCTTAAAGAAAAAACACTGTTAAGGAAAACACCTAAACCATCCCATTCTGACTTAAATACAATTACTACCAGTATAATACTATCAATCAATCAGAATAGAGCTGGAAGGGACCCTTCAGGTCTTTTAGTCCAAACCCCTACTCAAGCAGGAGACCCTATACCCGTGATGGCGAACCTATGGCACGCATGCCACAGGTGGCACGTGGAGCCATATCAGTGGGCACGCAAGCGTTACCCTAGCTCAGCTCCGGCATGCATGTGGGCGCCGACCAGCTGATTTTCAGGCCTTCCGGGCCCACGGGAAGTCAGGAAACGGGCTGTTTCTGGCCTCCAGAGGGCCTCTGGGGGGGTGGGGAAGGCCGTTTTTGCCCTCCCCAGGCGCCAAGGAACCTGGAGAGGGTGAAAAACAGGCCTACCGAGCCCACTGGTAACCTTTTTGTTGTTGCGTGCCCAAAGCGGGGGGAGCGCGCATGTGCAGGGGCGGGGAGGCATTAAATGTTGTGGGCACGCGGGTGTGCGACCGCCCCCCGCTCCCCCCGCTTTTGGCACGCGGCGGCAAAAAGGTTAGCCATCACTGCCCTATACCATTTCAGACAGGTGGCTGTTCAATCTTTTCTTAAAGACCTCCATTGATGAAGCACCCACAACATCTGATGGCAAGCTGTTCCACTGGTTAATTGTCCTCACTGTTAGGAAGTTTCTCCTCAATTCCAGGTTGCTTCTCTCCTTGATTAGTTTCCATCCATTGTTTCTTGCCCTGCCCTCTGGTGCTTGGGAAAATAATCTGACCTCCTCCTCTTTGTGGCAGCCTTTCAAATACTGGAATACTGCTATCATGTCTCCCCCTTGTCCTTCTCTTCTCTAGGCTAGCCAAACCCAGATCCTGCAACTGTTCTTCGTATGTTTTTGTCTCCAAGCCTTTCATCATCTTAGTTGCTCTTCTTTGCACTTTTTCCAAAGTCTCGACATCTTTTTTGTAATGTGGTGACCAAAACTGGATGCAGTATCCCACATGTGGCCTTACTAGGGCTATATAAAGCGGTACTAATACTTTTTTTTTTTTTTTGCAATGTGGTGAATTCTAATCAGTGTGATTAGAACTCATTAGAAAAGTGCGTGCTGCATTAGCATGACTAAGAACATGGCCGGAAGATTATGTAAACAGGGCTAATGGAATAATGATTGGAGGTGGAGGGAAGCATTTTTCTCCTTCTCTTTCTTCTTCTTCCTTACAGATGCTTTAGTTTCTACTGAATTCCAGTAGCACCCTACTGAGGAAGTCTCAGATGGCCTCAGAAAGAAGTCTTGGGGGTCCATAGGTCCAGTGGTGGGATTCAGCCAGTTCGCACCTATTCGGGAGAACCTGTTGTTAATTTTCTAAGCAGTTCGGAGAACCAGTTGTTGGAAGAAATCCTATTTTGTTTTTTTTCCACTTTACAGGGCTAATCCTGTAAGGAAGGCAGGAAGGAAACATTCTGGTGTTATTTCTAGCCTAACCTTTATTGCCCTGCTTACAGAAACTGCCTCTCCGGTTAACCCTTATTACATTGTAACAGCTAAGGCGAAGCGCCCATTGACCTGAGTGACATTGAGTTGGCCACGCCCACATAGTCACATGATCACCAAGCCACGCCTACCCAGCTGGTTATTAGGGCAGAGAACTGGTTGTTAAATTATTTGAATCCCACCACTGCATAAGTCTTGACTGTCCCCAAGAAGTCCTCATGCTCTTCCACCTTTGATGGCTCCTGGGAGACTCATTTGGTGGCTTATTGAACCAGATCAAAATGGCAATACCTTATTCTAGGTATTCTATTCTGGAATGTGAACGTGAAGCTGTATAAAACCCAGCTCAGGATATGCCAGTTGAACAGAAGAGCATCCAATCTTCATCTTTGTGCTACTTCTCTTTGCCTGTAATTTAGTGCCAGGCATGCTGAATGGAGGATGGTTCGTTTCAGTTGGTCTCCTCCTGTATTAGCTATTGGTCAAGATGGAGGCAGTTTTGGAGTACAAACAGATTTGAGACTGGATTCTACGATCATTTCCTTTACCAAGACAAGAAGGCACAAATCAGCTCTCTGTAAGGTACAGGCAACCCACCTAGTGCTCTGTGCTCATCCGGGCAGTTTTCATAAAGCTGCTTAGAACTGGGACTATCATCCTAAAACAAAAAAGGAAAAAAGAAATACAGAAGCAAATTACTACGAGGAATTCTCAGCAGATTCAGATTCTGAACAGTAGTAGTGTCAGGCCTGGAAGCCATCTTTTTCGCTGGGCCTTCAGGCCTGCCACATTTACTACTGTGGGAAACTGGGAGGGGGAATTGTATGGAGCCAGGGTGATATATAGTCATAATAACATTCCTTTCTCAGAGAGTCAAGGCCATTTTGCCCTGCACCTGGATGACTGGATCTGGGAGGCATCTCCAGTTGGGACAGTGTTTGGATTGCACCATGAGATGGACATGTGGATGTTGGGCAGGGACTTGGACTTTCCTTTGGGTGGGGAAAACCTGGAAGCTTTCAGATTCGGGTTTTCCCAGATGTGCCAATATGACATCTCTAATAAAACTTTGAGGAAACTCAAGCCTCGGAGTTTTCCATCATTGGAGGTGTTACTTGGAACCCTGACAGGTAGGAGATTAACTCAAAGAGTTCAGGCTGATTATTCCAGAAGGCATGAAATATATTCTAATGTAAACCTGGTGTGATTCTCAATGAAGCTGATTACACATATGCTTACTCCACATTGTTGCTGCTCAGTAGGGATGGGACGGTTGATCCTTTCTTCCGGGATTATCTTCAGCCTGACATCAGACAGCCCACCTACAGGAGGTTCCTTCCCAGGAATTTCATTATAGTACCCACAGTCTTCCTTCTCTTGAATATTCCAGGTGGATCCATCAAGATTCACCCCTTCTCTGTGCAAAAAACCAAGCAACAGCTGAAATAGCAGCACCACACTCAGTTTTTTAAAAAGCAGCTGGGTAAAGTAAGGAAGCCAGTCATCACAATGAACTATGAAAAGCCTTCTCCTTATTTGGAACTGTCAAGAAGTCTAAAGCTGATTATGAATGCATGGCGGCCCCTTCGCATCTCCTCCTCCCAACGACACAAACATTGGTGATCTATGAGCTGCTTCTCATAGAAGTTGGGAGAACACTGGAGGAGCGATTCTCTTGTTAAAATTGGGGGGGTAGGAGGAAACAAGGGTGAGGATAAGGATGGGGATATAAGCGTCTCTCCCCACCCGCTTTATAGTTTGTCTTCTGAAAAGAACAACTTGTGTTGAGTTCTTGATTTTTAATTTATAAGGACATAATTTGATGAACAGACAGGAACAGGAAAGGAATATGGGGCCAGGAAGTTTGATTAGGAGAACATGACTCAAGAATTTAATTATGTGATTCACAGGAACTGGAAAAGACATTTTCCATCTGTTCGTCTCCCGGGGGCAGAGGGATCAACGCTGAATATAACAGTGTGAGAATATAACAATGTCTTCTCCAGCCTGGTGCCCTCCAATTGTCTTAGGTTTCAGGCCGGCGTGGGCTTCAAAAATTTTAGCAAGGGGTTCTCTGCCCAGTTGCTGGGTGGACGTGGCCATGGTAGGTGTGGCCTAGTTGGCCTCCTGCATCACGGTGAGGGGGGGCGTTTTTGCCCTCCCCGGGCTCCGGAGGCTTTCCTCGAGCCTCCAAGAGGGCAAAAATGGCCTCCCCAGGCTCCAGAGGCCCTCTGGAGGCTGGAAACAGGCCTGTTTCCATCCTTCCCGAACTTCCGGTAAGCCTGTTTTTTACCTTCCCTGAGCTTCTGCGCGTGCCCTGTATTTACCTGGATCTAAAACGGGCCACGTGGGGACTCCTGGGAGGGGTGGGGCGGGGTAGGCGGGAAAGGGCGGGGTGGGGCCAGCCAGGAGTGGGATTTGGGGGGGTTCTCCAAACTGCACAGAATCTTAGCTAGAGGTTCTCCCGAACCCCTGCGAACCCCCAGCAGCCCACCCCTAGTGCATGTACCAAAGGCCTATACCTCTCAAACGATATGAATGCTGAAATCCAACACAACTGAACTCTTAAACTGGAAAATAAATCTGATCCAGCTAGCAAAACATTAAGCAATACACAGCACAGCAAATAAAACCTTTCACGGTACGACTGCAAGAAATCCCTTTCAATTTGAAATCTGTAATTTGTTTCCCTTTCGGAATCGCAAGTTTGGAATCCCAACTTAATGTAACATGGTTAATTAAATAAATGTGAATTTATGTTATTTATTAACCTAGCCTGCTGTTCTTCCTCCTGTCTCCAAGGCCATTCGCACATTAGATAGTCCTCGATTTAGGATTACAACTGAGTCCCAAATTTCCGTTGTTAAGCGAGACAGTTGTTAGGTGAGTTTTGCCCCATTTTGCAACCTTTCTTGCCCCAGTTGTTAAGTGAATCACTGCAGTTGTTAACTTAGTTTCATGGCTGTTATGTGAATCTGGCTTCCCCGCTGACTTGGCTTATCAGAAGGTCACAAAAAGGGATCATGTGACCCCGGGACACTGCCACCATCATAAATACACGCATCTGAATTTTAATCACATGACCATGGGGATGCTGTAATGGTCATAAGCGTGAAAAATCAATCACGAGTCGCTTTTTAAAGAGCCATTGTAATTTTGAACGGTCGCTAAATGAATGGAAGGACTACCTGTGCCATTCCAGCTGCCTCCCAATTTAAGCCTTTGCTTACCTTTCTTTGGAAGCAATCAAAGCAGGAGGAGTTTTCAGGTATTGTTTGAACCGGAGCTCAAAAGCTTGTCCGATGGTATTGATGACCTCTTGAGCAATTCCAGAGGGACATTCCAAAATATGGCATGCTGGGAGGGAAAAAAAACAGCCACAAGGAAAAGGGATGTGAAAGAAACACAGGTAGACCTTGACTTACGGCCCAAAAGTTGGGGCCCAAAATTTCTGTTCCTAAACGAGACATTTGTTACCCTGTTTCCCCAAAAATAAGACCCAACTGGAAAATAAGCCCTAGCATGATTTTCCAGGATGCTCGTAATATAAGACCTACCCCAAAAAATAAGCCCTAGTTAAGATCATCAGCCAGACGGATGCAATTAATATCGTATTCCCCCCCAAAAAATAAGACCTAACCAGAAAATAAGCCCTAATGCATCTTTTGGAGCAAAAAAATAATATAAAACCCGGTTGAGACTGTTAGGAAATTGTTATTTGTCTAACTAGTTAGTCAGGCAATATATAAACCAACAATGTATGTTTGCAGTCAGAAAGGTATTATATTGCTTTAAGACTGTATTGCATCATCCTGTATCCTGATTGGCTAAGCTCTGTAGCCAATGTACTTAAGGGAAGTCATGATCATGGCTTGTGTGGATATTACACCATTTTACCTGCTTATTTGCTGTAACTCTCTACCTGATCTCTCTGCATGATCACTGTTTGATCATAGCTACATGTTGTTTTCTACTATTTATTGAATGTTTTGATATTGAACTTGTTCCTGTTTTGAAACTCAGGAAGAACTGTTTTATTGTGTATGACTACAACTGGTAAGAAGACTTTGTACTTGAAATATCCCTGGATTGATCTTTTAACTCTCGTCTTGTCTGTGTATGTCTTGGATTGTTTTTGGACTTTGCTTTACTTTTTTCTAAAAGTAAAAGACTACAACAACTCAGTGTGTTTGTGTGTTGACTGTGATTGTTCACAACCACTCCCAGTCACTTTTCATGCATTTACTCAAAGGGTACTCTGCTCAATAACCCACAACATCGGTTATGAGCCAAGAATATCCTTAACAGAGACTTCCTTCGTTCCGAGCCACACTTCCTCATCTTAGCCATCAGAGGGCACTTTTATAACAATAAATTAGGAAGAATGACTGCAAATAGGTTGCGAGCAAAGCTCCGTTTTTTTTAATTATTATTTTTTAAATAAGAAACTTTCCCACTGAATTCATACTCGGGCAATAAAGATAGAGAAAAAATTAAATATGTTTTTTTTAAAAATAATTTTCCCAATGAAAAGATAGCCTCACCCCCAGATTTTTTTCTCAAGAAATTATTGGGTTTACCTCTTTGATTAACAGGATCTTTAGCAACGTAGGCGACATAATCCGTAGTATCCTAAAATGCACATAAAACAAAAGGAATAAGTATTTTTTAATATTGATGTTATATTATTAAATGGCCAATCTACATCTACTAGGTTTCAATGGTCAAAGAAAGGAAGGTTACAAAAAAAAGATAATAAAAAATTAAAACGAGAGGAAGACCGAGAGAATTGCATTTTCGAGTGACAGGTGTTTTTCACTCTAATCATCATTTTCCTCAATAGGCTGCCTTCTATCATTGAAACGTATTCCAAATTTGATGAGATTCAGCTCTGCCACTAGTTCTGTTAGCCCCCATTCATAATTGTGTTTCATTTCCAGCATGTTCTTCATGACCTCGCAGACAATCCTCATTCTGTCAAGGACCTTGGAGTACTCATCTCTAATGATCTAAGTGCCAGAGCTCACTGTAACAGCATTGCCAAAAAGGCATTAAGAGTCGTTAACCTAATCTTGCGTAGCTTCTTCTCTGGTAATATTGTACTGCTAACTAGAGCATACAAAACATTTGCTAGACCAATTCTCGAATACAGCTGTCTGGAACCCCCACTGCATATCGGACATAAATACAATCGAGCGAGTCCAGAGATATTTCATGAGAAGAATCCTCACTCCTCTGCTCGGAACAGAATCCCTTATGCCATCAGGCTTGAAATTTTGGGCTTAGACAACTTAGAACTACACTGCCTTCAGTCTGACCTAAGCGTAGTACACAAAATTATCTACTACAACGTCCTACCTGTCAGTGACTACTTCAGCTTCAACCACAACAATACAAGAGCACACAATAGATACAAACTTAAGGTAAACCGCTCTAAACTTGATTGCAGAAAATACGACTTCAGCAACAGAGTGGAATGCACTACCTGAATCTGTGGTTTCTTCTCCAAACCCCCATAACTTTAACCTTAGATTGTCTATTGTCGACCTCATCCTATTCCTAAGAGGTCTGTAAGGGACGTGCATAAGCGCACCAGTGTGCCTACCGTCCCTGTCCTAATGTCCCCATTTATTCGTATCCATTTCATGTATTCATAATCATGTTTCTACTTATATCTTTTATCTTATACATGCTTGACAAAAGAAATAAATAACATAAATTAAAAAATAAAATAAATAAAACCTCTATACTTACTGGATCCCCTCCAGAGGCAAATGAAATGGACTGCATATGATGATTTGCAATAATCTGGGAAGGAAAAAGAAGAAATCTGTGAAGTCCATGTATAGCTTAACCAGAAACGATTGGAAAAATATCTCTGCAAAGCTCATCATATTCAGAATTCATAAATTCTGCTTACAGACCACCAGAGATAGTCCGATAGAAGCACCCAAAAGCAGAGAAAAAAGACCAAATGCTCAGAACAGATAAATTCCTACAATAGCCATATATCCCCAGCTTCTGGCTATTGTATGAAACCCAAAGTCTCCATCTGCACACCCCTGAAAGATTCTATAGAGATGCATATAATCCCTGGCCAGAAAGTTGAAGACTTGTGGCCTACAGTTCCCAGAATTCTCATGGCTGAGGAATTCTGGGAGTTGAAGGCTAGAAGTCTTAAAGTTGCCAAGGTTGGAGACTCCCCTGGGTTAAGACACTGGACTAAAAATGGAGAGAAGTGAGTTTTAGTGCCACCTGAGGCACAAAGCCAGGTGGCTAACCTTGGGCCAGTCACTGTCTGTCAGCCCTAGGAAACAGACAATGGCAAATAACTTCTGAAAAGCCTTGTCCCAAAACTGCAGGGACCAGTTCAGATAGTTGCCAGGAGTCAACATTGACTCAAAGATAGTAAAAAAAAAAACAAATTAACTTTGTTAGGGTATTGCAATAGAGTGCATTCAAAAGCAAAATGATTCATGACAAGTTATAGCAAAACATTAGATCTGCAGCCCATGCTTCTTGGATCAGAGCCTGAAGGACCAACCCAACCTACCTGCTGGCTGTCGGTGTTCAATAAAGTAAGACTGGTTGTTGAGATGGTCAGTTTTATATGTGTGCCAGAAAACTGAAGATTGCTTTTGCCAAGCACAGGAGAAAGAAATTTAGCCGGAGGCTGTAAAGACAAGCAGAATGTTGATTTCTTATTTCATATGTCACCTAACAGAAGTCAATGGTTTCATTTGCCAGATGTTTACTACAAGGTTCCTGCCAGAAGTGTCGTGGGACACCTTAAGTCTGTGATGGCGAACCTATGGCATGCATGCCACAGGTGGCACACAGAGCCCTCTCTGCTGGCACACAAGCCGTCACCCAGCTTAGTTCCACCCCGCATGTGCACTCGCCTCCCGCTGGCCAGCTGATTTTCAGGTCTCTGCCATGCATGTGTGGGGCGTGTGCAGGAAACACGTGCGCATTCCTGGAGGGAGGGGGCAGGGGTGAAATGCTCCCGGTTCGGCCCGGTTCAGCCGAACCGGTAGCTATGACAGCTGGTGGTTCGGAGAACCGGTAGCGATGGCAGCTTGAGGCTCCGCCCTAAGACTCATCCCTAAGACATGCAGATATATATTTTATATATGTTGATGGTTCAAGGAAAAGGTAAACCTCTTAAGGCCCAGAGGGAGTTTTTTTCCTTCAAAGAAGCTACTCGGCCCGTCAAAGATAGATTTACCTTCCGTTTTTTGGTGTTCCCATGTATTCCTGGCACAGCTTCACACAGACGACTTATTGCTTCCCTGGAAAAACAAAAAATGGAAAAAGGATTTACATCAAAAACGGGGGAGAGAGAAACCATCCATGAAGGATCCATGCAGCATTAAATAGAACTTCAGATTCGCCTTTCTTTCTGAGATTTAAATTATTTGTGGTCTTAGGATAATACTTTGTATGTTTGGAGCCAGTGGGGCACATGGCAGTCACTAATCAAGTGCCTTGTTTTGCTTCATTAGGGGTTTTCTCCACTATTTATTTATTTATTATTTATTTATTATTTATTAATCAAATTTCTATACCACCCTACTCCCGAAGGACTCAGGGTGGTGAACAGCCAAGATAAAATACAGATAATACAAATATTTAAAAAATCCCTTAAAATTATTAAATATTTCGGCCGAAACACAGATTAAAACACCCAATTTATAAAATCACAAATTAAAAAATTTAAGAAATTTAAAAGATGGGAGTTAGGCCAGGCCATGTTGCATAGCCTTCCTCAGCCTGGTGCTTCCAGATGTTCTGGACCATCTTTTCTCTAAGAGCTGAAAGCCTCAATATAGACAACACTTCTTCCAATTCTGCCCCCAAATCATCCTAGAAGGTAGGTTTGGATGAGAAAGAAAGAGTAACTGGCCGAGGATTAGTTATCAGCTATCTATCTGCCATCTATTTATCTGCAATCTAGCCATTCATTCCCATCCATCCATTCATCCAATCCCATCAACCCACCCACCCATCCATCCCCATTCAACCATCTGTACCCACCTACCTCATCCATCCATACCCCCCGACCCACCCACCCATCATTGATCCAATCAATCCCATCAACCCACCCATCCCCATCCATCCATCTACCCTACCCATCTACCCTATCCATCCATCCATCCCCATCCATCCAACTCCATCAACCCATCCACCACCCATCCATCCCCATCCACCCATCCATCCATCCAACCCCATCAACCCATCCACCCACCCATCCATCCCCACCCATCCATCAATCCAACCCCATCAACCCACCTATCCATCCATCCCCATTCAACCTCTCTACCCATCTACCTCATCCATCCATCCATACCTACCCACCCACCCACCCATCATCCATCCAATTGATCAATCCCATCAACCCACCCATCCCCATCCATCATGTACCCTATCCATCCATCCATCCATCTAATCCCATTAACCCATCCACCCATCCATCCCCACACACCAATCCCCATCCATCTATCCATCTTTGGTTTTGTAATGGTATGTGGGATGGGAGATAGGAGGCAGAGCCTAAGAATGGACAATGGTCTGACCAAAGAAATTTGAGTCTGAAGGAGAAGAGGTGACAAAAGTGTCTCCGAAGAGACCTTCCTTCCTTTTGGGCAACATAAAAGTGAAGGAAAGGAGGGATGCGTTCAGAAATGTAAGATTCTATTAATGTAAACCTCCAGAATAGAGCGGAGGTGGCATAGTGGTTAGAGTGCAGTACTACAGGCTACTTCAGCTGACTGGTAGCTGCAGTTCCGCAGTTCGAATCTCACTAGGCTCAAGGTTGACTCAACCTTCCATCCTTCCGAGGTGGGTAAAATGAGGACCCAGATTGTTGGGGGCATTAGGCTGACTCTGTAAACCGCTTAGAGAGGGCTGTAAAAGCACTGTGAAGTGGTATATAAGTCTAAGTGCTATTGCTATTGCTAAAATAAGGGTAGAGCTAGCACTCCAGTACTCCTTATCTGGATGACCTCACTAGGCTAATAGGTTTAAACACTGAATATATTTTCCTACAGCTTTGAAAGCAGGATTATATCCTTGCTTTTTTTTTTTTTTTAAATGATGCAATTATATGGATTTTATTATTACACTGCCGCCATCTCTCGGGTGCTCTTAGGAAAATAGCAGGATGTAAATAAATGCATTCATTGCAATGGAGCTCAGCTTCACTCCCATCCCATAAACAGCTAATGAGAGAAAAAAGCCTTGCCAGATTCCTCAGCAATTAAATTGGCCTTTATTAAGGTTGTTTTTTTAAAAAAAAAAAAAACCCTTTATGAAACCCACCCAGGAGCCCAGGAGTGAATGGAACAGAGAGGCTGAATGAAATAAGGAGAACGTGGAGGCAACCAACATTTGGCAAAGGATGAATACTCCGTTGCTTCCTCCAAAACCCACTGGATAGAATGAGTAAGGCCCAAGCAACCCCATAACAAGGATTCTCATTCTTGAGAGGAGAAAAATATCAGAATTTTGGGAACTGCTATCCCGCACGGTAATTTTCCACTCTGTGCAGGGTTTTAAAAAAATGGCTCCCAAATGGTTCTCACTATTGTCCAACAGAACATTGCTTTTCCAATAGAACATTGCTCGCTAAACACTAAAGGATCTTTGTTGCTGTTGTGTTGTTGTTCAGTCACTAAGTCGTGCCCAAAACTCTCTGTGACCCCATGGGCCATAGCATGCTGGGCCACTCTGTTCTCCACTGTCTCCTGGAGTTTGTCCAAATTGCATCAACAGCATTATCAGACCATCCTATCCGCTGCCGTCCCCTTCTCCTTTCACCTTCAATCTTTCCCAACATCAGTGTCTTTCCCAAGGAGTCCTCCCTTCTCATTTTGTGACCCAAGTATTTGAGCTTCAGCTTCAAACTGAAGACACTCCCCAGTCATCCGACTCCAGGTGCCAGGGCAATGTGTCCTTGACTCTCTGAGAAAGGAATGTTATTTTGACCACATATCATCTATACTCTATGCAATCCCCCCTCCCATTTTCCCACAGAAGAAGATGTGGCAGTCCTGAAGGCCCAGACGTAAAATATGGCTTCCAGGTCTTACAGGATCTGTCCTTCCAAGGAACAATCAAGGTTGATTTCCTTCAGAATTCATTGAATTTTTTTCTTTAATTTGATTTATATGCCGCCCTTCTCCGGAGACTCAGGGCGGCTTACAGTGCGTTAAGCAATAGCCTTCATACTTTTGTATATTTTATACGAAGTCAGCTTATTGCCCCCACAAACTGGGTCCTCAATTTACCTACCTTAGAAAGGATGGAAGGCTGAGTCAACCTTGAGATCAAATTGAATTTTTCTGCGGATCACCAAAATTTTCTCGTGGACCACCAGTGGTTCACCAGTTGGTGACCGCTGCTCTAGAACAAGGGGTCTCCAAACTTGGCCACTGTAAGATTTGTGGGCTTCAACTCCCAGAATTCGGGAAATTGAAAATGACAAGTTTTAAAGTTGCCAAATTTGGAGAAACCTGCTTTAGAAGATACCAGGCTGGTGGAAAAAGAATTCTAGTCTGCATTTGAGGAACCGGTACCCTCTTTGTCCCAAAACACCAAAAAGTCATTGGATAACTCTTGGGTATCATGGAATTTCTGCTCCCACAATGCCTCCTCCTCCTCCCCTCCTTCCAGGATTGTGTGCCTCTAGACAGAGGAGAGTCCAGCATTGTTCCCTGGAGGAGAAGCAACTCGGGAACAACACTGCTTTACTTTGTTTATTGTTTTGCCAAGTTCAGTGGAGAGCAAAGTACGTGGGCTGATGTCAAGGAATAAGAATCCCCTTGAAGTTGGGCTTTTAAACCTCAGAAGTCCTGCCTTTTTACCCGCAGAACAGAAAGGGATTGTACGCAATAACAAAGTTGAATGTTTAGCCATTGAGACAAAGCTGTCTGACCGAATCGGTTCTGCAATTTCAGAAGCCTCCTATCTCAAGTGATGTTCTCCGGCTGTTTCCAAGGCTTAGACCTGGGTTCACACATCAGTATCAAGCCAAGATTGGGGGTCACTCATCAAGCCTGATGGGGATTGTTTTCGGCTTGTGTGAACCTGGGCACTGCGGTTTGACCACAACCAAAGTTTTAATCGACAACTGTTCGTTAAAACATCTTTTGTATCAGTGGTGAAATCCAAATTTTTTTACTACCAGTTCTGTGAGCTTGGTGGGTGTGGTGTGGCTTGGTGGGCGGGGCTTGGTGGGCATGGCAGGGGAAGGATACTGCAAAATCCCCATTCCTGGGGAAAGGATATTGCAAAATCCCCATTCCCACCCCACTCTGGAGCCAGCCAGAGGTGATATTTGCTGGTTCTCTGAACTACTCAAAATTTCTTCTACCGGCTCTACGAACTGCTCAAAATTTCCGCTAGCAGTTCTCCAGAACCTGTCAGTACCTGCTGGATTTCATCCCTGTTCTGTATGCAATCTGTAAACCCAACCTATGTGTATAGTTTAGCAAATGTTCGGAATGCAGCCATTTTGGTGTGAAAGCTATGTTTCATGGTTTAGTGCAGGGGTGTCAAAACTCAAGGCCAGGGAGCCAGAGATGGCCAGCAGGATGCTTAGATCTGGCCTGTCTTGGAAACAGTGAAGGACCGGCTCATGGTATCTCTGCCAGCGAAAATGGAGCTCGGGAGCTCGTTTTCACTGGCAGAGTGCTCGGGCCACCACAGGCACCCCCACACGAATGACGTCGAGTGGCTATGCTCACCTTGGCCACACAGCCCCCCCACCCCTGGTGAGGTCAAATACAACCCTGATACGGCCCTCAATAAAATTGAGTTTGACACCCCTGGTTTAGTGAGTAATTGACCTCAGTTGTGTTGTCTTCAATCCCCTATTGATACTTCAGTCGAAGTTATAAAATCATGAGTAAAAATTGCAAGGTTACCATAGCACATTATGGTTTCACGTGATGTTCAAACCCAGTCTTCATATAATATTCCCCAGGTTCTCATTTGACCACACAGAGGGACCCCTGCCACACAGACAGAGGATATTTACTGCAGAAACAGAGCTAACTGTTTTAATATAATCCCACACAACAAGATGCCCTTGTTTAACTCCGGAAAAGGCAGGCTGCCTACTTGTATCTCGGCTAAAACCCAAAGCACGTGGGTTTGTGTTTTGATTGTTCCGATTCCCCTTTTTTGGGAAACGTGTAAATTAAAACCTTACAAAAGTGTTTTAAAAATGGGGAAAGTAGCTTGAAACATTTTCATTCTAGCTTGCTTCTGAGTGTTATAGTTGTAGATC